ATCACTTAAATTCAGTTAGCTAGAATTGCGTTCTAATTCTAACGGACGTGTAGAGAAAAAAACGTGCAAACTTAATGTGCATGATACTGTTTCGTTTAATTAGTAGTACCTTTGTAGTATTGAGTGCTTCAACCAACCTAGATATGTTTATTTAAAATATGTTTATATTTCATTCAAATTATGAACTGATGTAAACTAGACCACTACTGAAAACGTAGAAGCACTGAAAGATTCTCACATCCTTGTATATATTGTCTATATTTATATGGTTGTTGACATTAACTTACTTTCTGCTCTGCATATTTTTTTTCTATTCAACACATTTTACATTTAGATTTTTCTATGTTAACCTCATTAAATATCCTAAAGCTTTTCTGGTTCTCTGCTAACATATACAAGTGATACCATTTCATAAAAATAAGAATGCGAAATATTTTTTAGTTTATATCCTTTTATATGAAGGTCGTTTATGAGTATCATGCTACTCTGCATTCTAATTTGTACATATTTTATCTATTATAATTCTATTTTAAACTTTTTAAAGATTTTGTACAGCTTCAACAACTACATCTGATGAACTCTAAACAACATTGTTCGGCTGCAATTAAACGCGACTCGATTTCGTAATCGTGGCCGTCTGCTTAGCGACCAATAAGAATGAGGTGGAAATTATTATATCCGCCATCTTTGTAAGCAATGGAGGTCGGTTTTCCTCGTTCTGTTTTTTCAGCTATTTCTTTTGTGTAACTACATAATTTAATGTTTCAGTGTGCTAAAATGCCGCAGTTAGTGCAATATTCTAAATGTTGTCGCAAATTTTCTTACATTCAGCATTGTTTCCTGGGTTTTTGCTGCTGCTGCTGCTACTCAAGTTGATGTATTTCTTCAGGCAAGCTGGCTAGTCTTACATTGTAAAATGTTAATCAGTTTTGTTTTGAGTATTTTTTCAGATATCGAAAGCCGAAGTTAGTTTCTTCAGCTAAAATAAGTGTTGGTGCCGCATATTCGTTCCTAACTGTCATTTATTATGTTGTCGGGCGGAATGGAAAGAAACAGTCTCTAGTTTGTTATTTTCTTCAGCATTATGGATCACCCTACTCCATCAACGAATCAAACCAATACTGAGTATCCAGTAGTTGTGGCTACTAGTGATGTTTTCGAAAGCATTATGAGACCTAGGCACCTGAGAAGCTGGGACCAAGTCAGAGAAGCTATCGATCTGTTGCACAAGGTATTGTTATAAAAATACACCATATAAAAGTAATAGATGAGTTGAACTCATTACGTAGTACATGAAAGTAAGTAGAACACAGAAAAGCCGGAAATTCGCTACCAGTATGTAGTGTATGTTTGTTGTTTTGGCGATAAAAAGAAACCGGAGGGTTATGGTGATAGAGTAAAAGGGTAAATGACTATTATTAATCTTACTTCTCATAAATCAAAGTTTACCGGTTGCAAAGCCATGTTTCGTCTGCGGTATTTCAACCGGTACGTCATAGCGTCGTCGAAGATGATACACAACCCTCCGTGTGATGAAAAATACTTAAAAGATGATCCTGGGTTTCGAAGATTAAATGAAGATCAGTTGAACGTTGTTGTATCGATGGTTGAAACCGGTAGTAATGCAGATCAAATAGTTAAGTATGTAGAGGATCATTTTGGAAAGACGATAACCGTGCAATATGTCAATAATTTAAAATATAAAGTTTTCGAACGTAAGTTTAACCCATAGATCTAGGTTGTGGAAGTTATGACGACGTACTTTCAACGTTACGCAACAGTTGGAAAGTGTTTGTTTCTTATGGTGGTGTGGCTAACCAGGTCACCAGAATAGCATTTAGTACATATGAGTAAATTGAAACGTACAAGCGATTTCCTGAAGTTGTTTGCCTGGATTCAACATACAACACTAACAGAGGGAAGTAATTAGAAATGTTCCGCTTATCAATTGTCTTTAGTTATAAACTCTTTCAGCTTGTTTCGACAGATAACTGCGGGCGTGGAGTGCCTATAATGTTCGCTTGGACAAAGGAAAAGAAGAAGGTAGATGTACTGTGGGTCATTTCAAAATAATTATGAATAACACCAGTAAGACCGAAACGTTTGTGATGGATTAAGCAAGATCCATCATATCTGCTGTGGAAACGACCCACCGTACTGCCCACATAGCTTTATGCTCATTCCACGTGTGTAGAGTTATTTGTAAGAAGACCCGCAATCCAATTATAAAGCTGTACTTGTGCCCACTTGTCCGTGAACAATCAGTTGTAAAGTTTAATCAGATCCGACGAATAATTAGTGTTCGTAGCAAACGCACCGCAATGTATTTAAATAAATACTGGATGAATAGGAAAAGAAATTGGACCGCAGCTTTCAACAGTGACGTTGTTACCTTGGGTAACAATATAAATAACCGTGTTGAAAGAGCACATAGACAATTAAAACGAAAGTTATGTAGCGGAGATGCATTGATTAAATGTATTTGGAAAACATACTACATGGCAAAGGGAATTAAGCAAACGCAGGTCACTACAATCGAGCTTGCACTGTAGTCACAAACGTAGATTTGTTGCTCCAGATTACTTAATACCTCTGCTAGGGAAGCTAACTACATATGTCGGGTTTATAATCCTTAAAGGCTATAATAGAAGAGGGCTAATGTATATTGAAAACCGTCTGTCATTAGTATTCTTGGTCGATGGCCGTTACTGCCCTATAGTGGATATAAACGATGGCACTTGCACCTGCCGTGTATTCCACACGTATCGAATTCCATGTAAGCACATGGTATTTGCTCATTTACAAATGCCAGAGTTTACAGGTATGTTATATTTATCTTCGTATAATGAAACGGTTGATTTAGTTTTGAAGCTATGTGGGAGATTTAGATCAGAATATCCTAGCTATTCCGACCCCAGACTATACGAAAAGAAACAGACTGTATTGTATTTTTCGTAGTAAAACCAACAGTCACCGCACTGTTGGGATTGACGACCGCCGAGGACACAATAAGCCGGGCCATAAATATGGTTGATGAAGTGATACGCAATAGGCGTCTGCATAGAGCTTCCCTACATGGTAAGTACACTGGTTCTTTGGAAATAGAAATTAAAGTCTTTCGAAATGCATCTATTAAGCTAATACCCGTATTCTCTATTTCAGGTAATTAATGAACACAAGTCGCGTCATGTGCATCTACTGTGTTGCCAGTTTTTGTTAGCGGCCTTATATTCAGTGAACAGACTTTTTCCTATGTTGTCGATAAATGGGTTGAAGCAACACAGCAGATGCACATGACGCGACTTGTGTTAATCGCACAAATGCAAGCTCCGAATATTTATTAGGAGTATAAGTGTTAAGTAGAGAGTCTGATGCTAATAACTGTTCAAATAATGAGCTCCCAAGCCACTGATGAGATGTAAAGCTCTTTTAGCAACAATGATAATTTACTTTCCTCACAATACCTGTGGGATAAGTTCAAAAGCATCCAATCTTCGACAGATTGAAACCCGTGTGCAAACTATCAACAAACGACATGAATGAGACATCTTCACCTACCATGTATTGCTAGACACTGCTTACCCCGACACAATGCCGACTAGCATATGAGTAATATGGAAAAGTAAGGTCCACCTAATGAAAGTATGACACCAAGCATTGAGTGTTGAAGTGACCTGTCTTTTAGTGTGTATGCTTTTCGATTCCAATTCATACAGTAATGCTAACAAGTAACTGTAAACCTTAAATGATATGCCTGTGCATAAATCGTAGTTGTAAAAATTCCTTACCATACTTCGAATTCCAAATATAGTATTACCAATACTTTTTACTCCCCCGGCCCAACGTGTTCCTTTTCGAACCACATACTCAACGTCTAGTTATTCACCAACATTAATACCGTCATTCCGATTTGTTCGCTTCTAATCTCACACCCCGATTTCCGACCACTAGACATGCTCTCTTTATCCATACAATATACATTCTATCCTCCCACATGGACTTCCCATTAGGACGATGTAATCAACTAAATTAATTTCAAAGCAACAATCATTTGGTAAAATCAAAAGCACAGTTGCAAAATCCAGACGTCGAAACCTTTCATTTCACCACGTGTACAAAGATATTAAAAATGATGTACACTACAAGTCTTTGAGATTCCACGTTCTTCATAATCCATATGTAGCCAGACCAAAACTACTTCGGTCAGAAATACCATGATACACTCACTACAAAGTATACGCTTTAAATCGTTGACTACATCAATTTACACATATGAGATCTGCAAATGTTGTACCGCATATACACAAATCAAATTTAATGACGTTGAACGGATTGTTAATGTTACAAAATAATAATTGTCACTAGTAGGGTAAAAATGATTATTTGTCTAAACGTAATAATGAAGAATCACTAACAGCTGTGCATTACTTCGAGTTCGTAACACTCAAATTAATTTTTATTTAAACAAATAAAAATTAGTACGAGGCACCAAATATGTATGCGACTCAAAAATCATGTGTCACGGTTGGATCACTGCCCAGGTGGCCAAATCGAGGCAAATGCTTTTCTTCGAGGGCTACGACCTGAGCCTTTGACCTAAAGGTCTAATCCACAAGACAGTTGAGCAATGTTGGGAGATGCAGTCCCACGGTAGCCGGTGACCAACAATAGGTTCATACGCCATTTGTTTCATCAGGACCCTGGAGTCAATATGTATCATTGGTTTGGAATTAGGGTTTTCCAACTCCCCTAGGTGGATTCTCCTTTACAACCAATGCGGTTAAAACGCCGGACATTCGCTTTTCATTCTCTCAATTCCATAAGGGAAACGCTCGCAACGAGAATGCAGTGAGTAGGACTTCTCTGACAGCGGCCATACACACGTGAGAGCACTTCAAGAGAGAACTCTCCCCCATCCTCGGCCGTAGCGGGGCATAAATCAAATGCTCAACAAAACCTTTAAAAAATGTGATGTGTAATACATCAGATTAAAAGACTGATTGAATCGAATCAGATTTTATTTAGTGATGAAACTTAGCACACCTGAGACAATTTTCTAAAAGCATAATGAGATTAAATCTTACAGTTCAATTATGCTCCATCTATTGAATATTCAATAAGCGTCTTTGAATGGATATTCCGAATGACCAGCCATTCTAGAAAAAAGATGACGCCAAATATTTATTTTCTTAACTAACCAGAAAATCCTGATTCATTATAGTCACTTTAAACTATTTCATAATATATGACAAAAAGTATCCTAATGAAATCATTTTAGCACAATTATAAACGACTATTTCAGGATACAAAAGTAAGCAAACTATTAAAACTTTACCAAGTCTGTGTTTAGCCCTTAGAAAGAGGTCAGAAATCTTTTAAAAGACTTCTTTTTTTATAAAAACCACAGTCAGTGAAAGTAGAGGGAATGATGACGTAGAATTGTTGTATAATCTTATCTCTCTTTGTTTTTACTTCTCTATTTAATTGGTCAAAGGAAAAGGAATGATAGTGGAAATAACAGAAAGTAAAGTGATGGTAGGATGCGATTATGATTATGTAGTTTCTGATATTCCAATTGTAGCACTCCCTGGAACCCTAACATACAATATGTCAAAAGAACTTTCACGAACATCTAAACTTTTAGTGGATTCACCCAACCACTCCATCAAATCCCCAATACAACTCAATCAGATTAAGGACATTCAAATCAACAATGACGAGCTGATGATATCCTTCGATGTGACAGCCTTATTCACCTTAATTAAACCAAGCTTAGCAAAGGAAACTCTATTTCTGCTTATCACCAACGACACAAATCTCGCAAAGTACACGAAGCTTGAAAGTCAACGTTTACTAGAACTCATCGATTTATGCTTAACAACATATTTTCAATTCAACAACAAAATCTACGAACACACGAAAGGGGCACCGATGGGATCACCAATATCAGGACTTATCACAGAAGCAGTGTTTCAGTGACTAGAAGACAAAAATTTGGATTCGTTACGTGGACGACAAATTCGTCATCGTCATAAAGGACGAGCTGGAAAACACCTACAGGCTGGTCAACAACGTCTTCGATGACATCAAGTTCACAATGGAACAGAAGTCAAACGACAAACTATCATTCTTGGATGTATTAATCCCCAGAACCGACAGAAGAAAACTGAAAACTCAAGTATATCGGAAGTCGACCAACATAGATCAAATTATCAATTACATTAGCAACAGCCCAAGAGTTCACAAAATCAACTGCCTACAGACTTTGTTCAAGAGGTCGAGGACACACCGCATCACACTTGCAGCACAGGAAAATGAAGAAAAATATCTGAAGACCGTTGTTCAAAAGAACGGCTACCCAATCAACTTCATTATCAGAAACAAAGTCAAGTACAGAAATCAACAAATGGATCACCCTATCATACATAAAAGGCATATCAGAAACTACGACAAGACTGCTGAAACCCTTCGGAATAGGTGTCGCACACAAACCAACAAAATCGGTACAATCAATCTTATGCAAATTAAAAGATGAAATGACAAAAGAAAACAAACCAAACATCATCTACAAAATAAATTGTGCCAACTGCGGAAAAAACTACACCGGACAAAGCGGATGCCCTCTTTATTCTCTTTTGCATGAACATCAATTAGCAGCCAAACGTCATGATACTTCCTCACTTATATCAGTGTACATGGACAACTGCGGACACACATTCAACTGGGAAAATGTAGAGATTTTGGGTATAGGCAATTCCGAAACACCAGAGAATTTTTAGAAACTTGGCACTCAGGTCAATCAGCAATCAACAAGCACACTGAAATCGATCCAATCTATCAACCAATCAGGAAAATTATGGACAAACATAGGACTGAAATTCAAACCAATGGGAAATACAACCAAAAGAAGAGGTGAACAACGACAGGTTTAATGTCAAGAAAAACCAATCAACATCGAGGTCAACAGGACGAGTTGTGAATCACATGTTGAGAAATCCGGATACTTCACTTCCACCTGAAGTTGTGTTCATGATGTCGTTCAAAAGAACGACGAAATGTCCACGACTAAACCATCCGGCTCAGAAAAAAACTCCATCTAAATCAGTTGTATTGATATGAAATAATTTTTGAATAAAGAGCACAGAATTAATATTTAGATGTCAGGCAGTAAATAACAAATTTACTGACAACAACGACTAAAAATAATCTAAATTTAAATTTTAAAATATGAATTTTTACAAATATTTGAATGCCAGCAACATGAACTTACTTCAACAATTTGAACTGACGTTCATTTAAACCTTTCGTATTTAATTCATGCATTTCCTCTTTCGAAAGTTGGAAATCAAATACCTTCAATGAATAACAAAATGAAGAAAGTTATCTATCTATCTAAACAGTAAAAAGAACAAACTACACTGCATAATAAGATGTTTAAGTAAACTTCAACAACTTAGTCACTTTATTTAAGAACAATTAAGTTACATATACAATCAAACTGTCTCTTTTATTTAAAGAATTCAAATAATATTGTCATTTCCCGACCGTTGTTGCTACCTTGACGTGGTGGTCGGGCCTGCCTATCGTGGTGAACCAATCAGGCTATACTGGCTAGAACAATCGTTCCTTAAGATCTTAACATGCCAAACAGATCGGTTGAAGAACGGTAAGATTAAAAGCAGTAAATCCAAAGTTCGAGGACGACGTCGTACTGCTGACTGTACAGAGGTGTGGTAGCAGTAAGGTGTTTCCTTCGGGCAACCAGTATGTCAGTGATGCTGCCTTCCCAGAAGGAGGGGTGGGGTTGGAAAAGGTTGACCCCAAAAATACACACCTCGCTTTATCCCACAGATATCCGTCTCCATTGGTAAGGTCTCAACAAATATGAAGCGAACACGAAAATTACGCACAAAAGGTCGTATGTGATAGACCTCAAGCAGTTTTTCCTTGGGCACTGCGGTCACGCTCTCAGGTCACTAAGACCACCTCTAATCCAATTTCCATTCCAGGTACCTCCAATAGAACTCTTCCACAGTGTGGGCAGCCACCTGCATACCTCTAACAGTACTCAAGGCCACTGTATTCATAATCTGCCGAGTATTGTCATTAGATCATAAATGAACAGGTATACAACAATAACACTGATAAATGAACCGGATTATCATTGAATAGAATAGCAACTCTATACAAAAATAACGTTCTCTGAAATAGGTTCCAAAATGAGAATTTAATACGTGAAAATCTTTGGAATGCGCTTCTTTCCCTCTAAATACAAGTTGTTGCTTCAGGACTGGTCTGCGTCAATACCTGAATTAAGGATAGTGAGTGAAGTAGTCGAACGCGTTGACAACTTCACTTATCTTGGAAGTTCGATCAACCCTAATGGGTTGGTGTCTGACGAAATCTCAGCACGGATTCGAAAACCTCGCTTGGCTTTTGCCAACTTACGTCACTTATGACGAAGGCGAGGTATCCGTCTATCCATTAAAGGACGAGTATACTGCACAGCAGTTCGTTCTGTTTTAATTTACGGCAGCGAAACATGGCCATTAAGAGTAGAAGACACTCGTAAGCTACTAATAACTGACCACAGATGTTTTAGAAATATTGCTCACATCTGGTGGGATCACCGGGTAAGTAATAGTGAAGTTAGACGCAGGGTATTAGGGAATGATGTTAAGTCAGTTGATGAGGTTGTGAATCTTCATCGACTGAGATGGTTGGGCCACGTGTTACGTATGCCTGAACACCGATTGCCATGACGTGCAATGCTGATTAGTGTTGCCGATGGTTGGAAGAAAGTTAGGGGCGGCCAAACCAAAACGTGGTATCAGTGCTTGAAGTCACTAACTTCTAGTCTGAGCCATGTTGGGAGATGCAGACTACTTGGTTGGAGTCCGCGTGACTATCGTAACCAACAGTTGGAGACTGGGTAAAATGGCTCAGAATCGATCACAATGGCGTAAATGTATACACTCTCTGTCTTCCCTTAAACTATGAGATTAAAATCGCTTTATGTCTTTCTTTCTGCAAACTAGTTCTTTCTTGCTGTACTATATCCTTATTGCAATCTTTCTTTTATATATTACAACTACTGAATTAAATGCTTTTATAAATCCGGTGTTCATCTTGTTGTGTTAATGAGATATGGCAACTTGGACCGATGGATATATGTGCCTGGTCCTACGTTGTAGCTGACTGACTTGAATTTATTTTATCAAAACACTCAGTAGTAAATATAGAAAACTCTAAATACTATTGGGAAGTTAAGTGTGGACATTAAAACGAACTGAATCGCGACAAGAAGAATTGATGGTATAATTGTAACTATTATGTTACTAGATTTCAAATTGTTAGTCTTTGAAAATGAACAACACTATCTCAATGCTCAGTACAAAAATCCTCACAATTGTTACAATCATGAATGTAGCCTAACCTGAAAAACCATCTAATTCGTGAATGAAAATGAAACAACACAGTCGTAATTTGATTGATGCTAGAAATGTTAGCTACTCAGTTCACATGAAACATCAAATTTTAAAAGTAGGTCATAGAAAGGATGTGGAGTTCACCAAAACCATTAATTGATAAATTTATTGTATGTTGTCTCTAAAAATATCAGGAAAACAGTCAACTTATATTCCAAATCATAAAAGTTAAACGCTTATAGATACAGGCTTGTGTTTAGAACATTCAATAAATGTGAGTTTTAGGAGAGATTTCATAATAATAGTAATAATAAAATAAAACAATTACATCTACATAGACTATCATACCCGAAAGTTTTCTTCAATTCGTTTTGGTGTCACGGACTTTGGAACCACTATCAAGTTTCTTTGAATTAAATAACGTAAGAGAACTTGTGCCGGTGTTTTACCGTGATGTTTAGCAATTTGTAACACCCAAGGTTCCATGAGTAAATCAACCCTTCCTCTAGAAAATAGAAAATCATATTTTAATACATCACAAAACAAGGATGGAAAGAGTGAGTAAATACATAAGACTAAAGAAAATACGTGTCCCAAAATGTCCAGATACGGCAGAGGATGGGGAGAGTCCGCTCTCCTCTCGAAGTGCTTTCATATGACCATACATATAGAGCCACTGACAGGAAAGTCCTACTCACTGCCGTCTGGCAGCGAGGGTGTAGTTTATGGAACTGAGAGGACGAAATGCGAATGTCTGGCGCTTTCGTTGGTAAGTATGGAGGATTCACCTAGGAGTTAGAAAACCCTGATTTCAAACCAATGATACATATTGACTCCAGGATCCTGATGGAACAAATGGCGTATGAACCTATTGTTGGTCACCGGCTACCATGGGACTGCATCTCCCAACGTTGCTCAACTGTCTTGTGGATTAGATCTTTAGGTCAAAGGCTCAGGTCGTAGCCCTCGAAGAAAAGCATTTGCCTCGGTTTGGCCACCTGGGCAGTGATCCAACCGTCACACAAATCAATGATGACTACTACTGGAAAAATAACATGCTTCAATGCTCTCTCAGAAAAATCTTATTAATAGTCATTTGGCAACATTCATTTTTATTTTTTGATACCACGCCACCTATATATCCCGCTTTATTCGCACTTTGCGTATCTTATTTTTCAACTTATACAGCAGATCGCCTATGGTGGAAACCCTTTCGTATCTAAACAATCTCAAGTCACTGACTGGTCGAAGGTTGAATGTTAAAACCGACTACGAATACTGAAACGGTCTTTCTGAAAACACGAGTACCATTCAAACTGGCCACGTTCAATGTTTGCACGCTAATGTAGATCGGACAACAGAGAGGGTCAGTTATGTTTTTAAGTCTCAACATCGATGTCTGTTGTCTATTCGAGACCCGTATACAGGACTCTAATGAAGTACTACAGATTCGCTCTCAATCTGTCGCTTCAAAAAGCTTGTTTCAAACCAAAACGTGGTGTCAGTGCTTGAAGTCACTAACTTCTAGTGTGAGCCATGTTGGGAGATGCAGACTACTCGGTTGGAGTCCGCGTGACTATCGTAACCAATGGTTGGAGACTCTGGGTAAAATGGCTCAGAATCGATCACAATGGCGTAAATGTATACACTGTGTCTCCCCTTAAACTAAAAGAATAAAATCGCTTCATATCTTTCTTTCTACGAACTAATTCTTTCTTCCTGTACTATATCCTTATTGCAATCTTTCTTTTATATATTACAACTACTGAATTAAATGCTTCTATAAATCCGGTGTTCATCTTGTTGTGTTAATGAGATATGGCAACTTGGACCAATGCATATATGTGCCTGGTCCTACGTTGTAACTGACTGACTGATTGCTGATATCCAGTGGCAACACCATGTCAGTGTGGCTTGGATATGTTCTACGAATGTCGTTCCAGAGAATTCCACGTCGTGCACTATTTGCTGACGCTGAGACCGGTTGGAAAAAGCGGAGCTGGTCGGTGTATGAAGGAAAGCTGTAAAGGACTTGCTTATGCTGGTTCTTCACCGCCCTCTGGTTGGGGTCCTAGAGATGGTGAATAGAAACTTTGTCAGACACGCTCAGAATAGAAGCCAGTGGCGATCTTGTTGTGACTTTCTTCTACTTTCTTCATAAAAAACAACGTAACTTCTTCAACTTAAAAAATTCTTTTTGGTTGTATTATTCCCAACTGAGATGTTTTTCCGATTATTACTATTATTACTTCACTCTCATACACTAATTTCTGTTCGTTGTTCTTTTTATTATACGTAATTTACATTCTCTATCTCTTCACAACCTCATTGTTATTATGTGGCGCATATGTATTCGGTTCCCCCTTGTACCAATATTCATAAATTAAAATAAGTAAATAAATTTCATGCTACGTAAATATTATAAGATGAAATAAGGAAAAAAGCATTTAGACTTAACATTAAACATGGTTAAAAAAAGACAATTAACTCACGGTGAAGCAGCAGGTGAACCAAGCGGAGCATAAGCAGTTACAGTTAAACCAATCGACTGCGCATATTCAACTAATTGTATGTTAGGAAAATTAGCATGAATTTCGATTTGTAAATTGGATGGTTTAATACGGCAATGTTTAAGAATATTTTCAATCTGACGCTTGTTGAAATTTGATAAACCAATAGATCTGACTAAACCATCATCAACCAGTTTTTCCATTTCCTTGAATAAATAGAAACAAGTATATACATGTATTTTAATACATCAAACTGGTTTGAGCTTCAGCCATAGGTCACTTTTTAGACATGAAGGCAAGTTATGTAAAAAATTAGGCTTGAAAAGTTACAATTCACAACCTTTCAGAAAAGATCCTTACATTTCATATGATGCGTAACTTGTGTTTTGTCCTACGAAACTAACTTATTAAATACGACCTAGTGAAATATCGTTTAAGCATTATTATTATTAATGGCTTTATCTAATATTATATTTTTGGCCTAATATAGAATTCTCAGCATAAAGTATTTCAACAAGTTTCCATTTCCTACTTCTTGGTAGATCCTGACGTTAAATATTGAGTGGTTGCCAGTCAGAAGTTAGCAGTCCAGGAATCGACATTTGAATAATGTACATTATTTTCGCTGTATATTGCCAGCAACTACAATGTCTCTGGTTGGGCTTTTATGTAACTGAAAATGTTGTGCAATTTATAGACATGATGATGTGTTAAAACAAACAAAAACAGATAATTTTAATAGTTGAGATCATATATCAATAGGGTGAAACGACAGTCCAGTGCTTCCAGGTTTTCCACGGTGGTCTAGCTTCAATCGACTCACGATCTCAACTACTGAAATTACTACAATCTCCACAAAACCCCTTCTGATACTAAAAACAGATAACTTATTGAAATATCTGGATGGCAAGGACAGGTAGTTCAGATGTCCAGGCAGGCAGCCAAGGAAAGCATAGAGCAACAAAGTATGTTCGCAAGTATTAATACAAACATATTACGTAAGTAGTGCAAATTAGCAGCAATTGATACGAATTACACATGAACTAAAGATGAATAAACAAACACCCAATTCAGTACGCAAAGTACCACAAATACAGTATACCAAAAAGAACGGAATAAGAATAACATGTCCTAAGCACTGGAACAAATATTTAGTCAAAGCGCTGCTAAATTGCTTTATTAGTTTCAATAATAAGCTATCAAAAGCTCTCAAATTGGATATAAACATGATTTTCCCTTTACGACATATTTTAATACTATAGTCTTAAGGATTATATACCTTGATAAACCCCGAAACGTGGATCAGTGGTGTTCAAAGTAACTAAGACTTGCTGAAAATTATAGATTTATGTACGCAAGATATTTAAAACGAGAGTACACTATTATAAACCACCTAACAAAGGATGTCACCAAATAAAAAAGCCGTGAAATCAAAATTTTCTAGATACTTTTAAACTTGAGTACTTTACGGCGCTCGATGCTACATTACTCCCCAAGAATAACTTTTCACAAATGTCCAAAATCTACGAACTAAGCTACTCAATCGATGAGTAAATATTTATTTTACAGTAAGCCATACGGTATGAAGTATCGAACAACAAATCACACAATAAACCAAACTACACTTACCATAAACCTTTCAGAAAGTCATAGGTTAATCAGTTAATAATTGACGCTTAATTAGTGGATTATAAGTAACGTAAAATCTGAAACACATGAGGATCCATCCAGGTGGTTTGACATTACATCAACTACTGAAAGCAGTACATATTCGCCCTCGGACGGGAGTAAGACAAAAAAGGATAAGTCTATTCTCCGATTACCTTCTGTAACCTAATGGGATATTATTTCTCGTGAACTAATCACAACCTCGAAGATTAAGTCACTTTCAAATTTTTATAGAAATAGTTTGTCCATGAAGAAATAACTAAAAGTTATAAACGTTCGAAGTAACATTATGAAGCAAACGCCTAGGGAATTTCTGCCAGATACTTTCTTTAAGTGAGGAATAGGGAACATCGTGAGACTCTTCTTTTCAGAAATTGAGTCCACGTTAAAGCACTCCACCAAAGTTACTAAAATATAGAGACTACGTGAATCAGTATACAATTCAGGCACTACAAAAAAGAGATTCGACAGCCCACAGCAAAAAATAAACATACACTAATACTAACACTGTGATTATGCAGTTAGCGTTACGCTTCCCAGTGAAACAAAATAAAAATACATGAATTTTTAGTACCAACAAACCTTCCAAGTTTCTTCATGTGGTACTTCATCTAAACAGAAATTTCCGTTCGAATCAGTGGGAAAAAGAGATTCACCATACTATAAAATAAGGTCAAGAAATTGCACAAACTTTACTTGGAATGGAACAGGCCAGTGAATTAAGTACAAATCAAGATATTTAAGACGTAAATTCTTCAAAGTTTCTTCGCAGGCTTTCCTGACATGCTCAGGGCGGAAGAAAGTATTCCACAGCTAGAAATAATTTAGATAAACATTAAATGAATAAATGCCTTTGAAGTAACAAAAACATCGTCTCTGTTTAAGTTTAGACTCTTTAATGCACCTTCCAGTGCTTCACCTATTTCTGCTTCATTTCTGTAGACATGAGCACAGTCCACATGTCGGTAACCGACTTCTAGAGCTTTCTTCACGGCCACTCCAACTTCACCTGGTGGACTCTACAAAGTGTATAATACTAAAACTTTTCCTTGCGAACATTCCATGTTCCGAGACCAATGACTGGAATTGAACGACCATTATTCATTTTTAAGGATTCCATGATTACACTGGAAAATAAAATAATTATGCTGACATTTGTTACTGTTACATTATACTAATAAAAACGGCGGAAAACAAAATTTAACATTATGGAAGCCTTAGATATATGGAGGTTAGGTTTAGTCTATAGACTCCCAAATCAATCTGAAATATCTTTATCAATGAAGAAGAGGCTGAAAAATCTCCGCTTATATACACTAGAATAACTTTCTATACAAAAGCAGGTCCCCAATAAACCCCGACTACTTAATGATAAAGATGACAACGGATCACTAGAATATAGATTTTTCATTGACCTAGGTGACTTTTCCATATTTACATCAATAAATTTTCATCTTGCTTACCCACACATTACTAATTTGAACTAGAAAGCGAATTTCAAGTATTTATAGGCCTAAGACTAGTCTGCAACTGTCAAAAAGTAGGTAGTTATTATGGCAATCAAGTGGCTTGTCAGTGACGAACTATCCATGTATCCTGCTAACTTGATGGATATGGACATGAAGAACGGTGCTCAACTATATGACGAGTGGTCGATCACTAAGACTGAGGTTATTCACTACTGTGGTAAAAAACATACATGTGTTTCCTATAGACGGCGTACAGACCGCCAAGAACGATATCGTTCAGAAAATTCTCCGGCTACAATAATCCTGTGAACGTTTTGCAGAGACAGAAACGGAAACAAGAGCACCTGCATAATTTCGTTGATAGTGATATTGCTGAAATGCAAGCTGGAAACAGTTGCGTCCAGTAACCGAGTGTCAGGTCGTCGGACACACAAATACCACTGAATGCCAAGTTGGAACGTCATATCTGTCAATGTTTAAGTTCAACGAAAGTAGCCTCCAACTTACGCGCCAGCAACTGTTGACAGCAGGATCGCGGCTTAGTAATATTTGCAATTTAAATCAGTTCTGAAATTGTGAAACTACACAGTGCTTTGCATAACATGGCACCAGCAATATTAGGCCTGAGTGTAACGGTCTAAGTCTGATGCACGTAATAATCCATAGAGATTCAGTATTGGATCATTACGTTAATATTTTCCTTCCTCAACCAGAAGTGAGGACCATGAATCCATGTCTTCAGAAAAGCACGAGAAACAAATTTGTAGGTTCATTAATATTTTTATCATTATCTAACATTACAAAGGCCCGAGCTTCCAATTTCGGCGAAGCCGCTATATCAAACTTTGGGGAAACGACAATAAAACCCCGAAATTTCCCCAGACCTGAATAATTTCCCCAATATTCCCCCTTTAACCTTGGTGAAGGTCATTTGACTTTGTGGGTTTCCCCAAAATACCCCTAAACTTTCCCAAAGTTGAGAGATTGGGAAGGCGATGGTATTGTGATTGCCAGATAATAACCGCATGACTTCCATGCGCTAAATCTTGTTATGAAACCCGAGGTAGTTAGCGACTTTATATTACTTGCCACTAAGGCTAGAACAGCTTTTCAGAACTGCAGGCTTTACGGCGGTATACGAAACAAAGCTGGCTTTTTTATTCTTGATCGTAAAGCCGTTATGGCGCGAAATGAGAGATAAACTTCAAAAGCGCCATTGAAGAAGGAAAGGTAGTGTAAGTTATAATTTGAAATGACAACCTACTGCTACCCTCTAGGTGTAGCGTTGTGTTAAAAAACATCACTGTACGGTTTGACTTTATCAGTTGTTAAAAATAAAGATATATTGAAGTGTGACATTAATATAAGGCTTGGAACTCTACAACCGTGATTGTTACCAAAATTCAGAACTCAGAGGACAGTTACTATGCGTCCGAATAACGTACCAATTGGGTGATACTGACTTTGAAATTAATTATATTGCAATCATAATTTTCTAATAAACAATCAATTATGTATATGTCTATTTCACTTACATGTGATAAATTGGGACAATTAGACATGTAGTAAGTATGTATGACATATTTAAAATTAGGACAAATTACTGGTCTCGGTACTTACAACTAGGTGTGGCAGGCACCTACTCAATCTCTCTATTTTGGGGGAAAATTTATCCGTTTTTTGGGTAAATTTAGGGAAAGCTGCAATAAAAAACTCTGGGGAAATGGCAAGAAAACCCCAAAATGTTTGCGTTTTCCCAAATATTTCCCCAGAATCTTATAACACTCCCGGAAATTTCCCGAAACATTGAGGGAAAACTACCAAACTTTTCACGAGTTTGTGGAAATCCCCAAAATATGGAGATAAGGTGGTACCTTGCATCCTTGTAAGCTATAATTTGATTTCCAGTATATAAGTGTCATTGATCACGTATAATATTTATAAACTAAGTCCACTGAGTAGAAAAGATTGTCTACTGACAGATACAGAGGGGAGCACGGGAGAAATATAAACAGAAAAAAGATAACATTTTATGAACTTGGAGAAAGTTGGGATGAGCAGACGATCTGCATTAACGCAAACTTAAAGTAGGTAGTGGGTAGTAAATGTACATGTATATGTATAAAGAGCAGACAACCCTTCGTAAATTCGGCAACGACAATTTGTCGAAAATTCAAAGAAAAAAGTGAGAAAAACGGTGAAACTAATTTATAAACGACCTTTGAGCGACGCAAAAGTGGCCTTGGGAATGTCCACCTAACGACTAGGTCTAAATTAGGCATTTACACCAGTGTGAAAGATAAGGATTGTGATTTAAAGTTGATGGTTAAGGACAAAGACTAGATTGACGGTTTTCATTACGAAATGACATGAGTTAAAATGCCAAGACGATATTTAGCTAAACGCTCAAAGAATTTCGCGCCGAAATCCAAGACCACTTATCGTGAATCTAATTAGTTTGTCCATAAATTATATTCTCGCTATGTCTAGCCTAGAAATACGCTATGTTCTAGAAATATACTCACATTTAATAATAAATGGGATCGACAATAGCCAACTAAGGAATGAGCGCGAATCGACACAAACCAATGGGTAGCGTACAGTTACAAATACTTAACATCATAAACATCAAAACAAACAAAGCCAGTTCTAAGTATCATAGCATAAAACCTCAATGCTTTCCATAATCTGAGTACAATATTGCATCACTTTAATTATTTTAACGGCTCATATTAAAATGTACTTAACTGTGGTGTATTCGCTTATACGCTTGCACTCAACAATAAGCAGTCTGTCGTTCCCAATAAGGGATTTTTAGTTCTTGCTGAAGCATTGAAAATCTTTCCGTTTCTCGATTCTGCAAATGTTTAGTCTGCCGGAGTTAAAGTGGGATAATGTGACAGCCCAACTGACGTCGAAGTCATTAATAAATGACCACTTATCGTGGAGTTAGGTAATGATGCTTCTGCTGTATTCTTACCATGTAGGTGGTTCATTTGGATGTGAAACAAAAGGAGCAGCAAAATTCTTTCGGCCGGCCGCCTGTTGCAGTGTATGGTTCTTCACCAATCCCTTGTAGATCACGTCGGGCTCACCAGTGTAGATCACCAACGTAGACGATCTATGTCGAAAATAATTGCAGGCCTACTCGAGTTAGACGTGAATGGTGTGACAAACTAGCTAACATCGAAGTCACACCTCATGGTCAGCACCTTACGTGGACTACCCCATTGACATACCAAGGTACCATAGATGCTTTGAAGACTGTACAACACAGGGGACGTCGTTACAGAAGTATATTAGTTAAAGTAGATACAAGCGAAAGTGAGACCACTGCCGTATGGGCCAGTCCATGGCATACGATCAACTTATGCGCGTTGGTTGTACATGACCTTGGCAGGGAGCGATGATCTGTTCGACATTCAGTGATTCAACTGCCGGATGATTTGGCTAGGGCTCAGTGACATTTCACTGACCCTACACCCTGTTAGCCGTTCTTGATCTTAGTAATTCATATCACTCAATTCGACATTTATTAATCCTTCCTCTAACGGAGAAGCGGGGACATTTACAAAGAACACTGTTTTACATATAGTGCTATTTTCGGCGTTATTCATTGTGCTTGGTCCGTGAAATCCCTTCCGATTTTATGTTTGTCACTTGGTTCTGGTTCATGCTCAATTCGTATATTTGCTTGCTGACATGAACTCGAGAAAGCTGTAGGTGGCTCAGAAGGAGCCGAAGACATTCCATCCAATCACCTTTCAGGAGAATATTCTAGAATTATACGTGTAGTCTCCTGATTGGTCAATGCTAATAACCCCACGTACGCGGATTGATGGACTGTAATGATGATTTCGTTCTTACTAAAAAGGGTGATCTTATCCGCAACGCAACCATGTAAACTTAATGTATCGCACACTGTCATTTGTGCGTTCAAGTAACCACAGATTTTGTCATTTCATAATGTATTTTCAATTAAATAACTAGATTATGTAGTTACTTTTTCTCTATTTTTAATTTTTATTCGCCACGTCCGACTGCGTTACACTGTATGTCCATTGCACGCTGAGATGATATCTCAAGTCATAGCGAGTTTATTCACATAGTTGATTGTTTCCAGATAGATTGTCAGTGCATGATTTTACTGAAGAAAGGTTTGTTGTACTGTAAACTGTGTTTCTATGATCAACTCCCTGTTGTCTTCAGTATGAATTCATACTGAATACTGCTTTAAAGCAGTATATATGTATCCTTCATTTTTTCTTAGGTAAGTTCAACTGGCCTATATTTCGTGTTTTGGTTTTATCGGCTTAATTATGTCCATTTAACTACTTTGAGCAACATGTCTTTGCAAGTGAAACAATAACTATGACAATTGCTTAGCTTAGTGTTCGTGGTTGTCGTATAATTCAGTTTAGTTGAAAGAATTATGATATACTTAAGTATAGTGCTTGAAGCCTGTAACGAAACAGATCAGTTTAGTATGTAGAGTTGCCTGTTTCTAATGTGTATACAGATTCAGATCAGTCTGATTAAAAATAGGAAGAAACGTGCCTTTGATGCTGTTGCTGTCATACATTATAAGATAGCGATAAGTATGTTTGGTGTTTATTTCTAAACTGTACATCTATCACTGACCATATTTCATGATAACTGTCACTAAACAATTTCCCCAGCAATAACATCGGTAGCAAGATAGCTAAGTGTCTGAGCTTTTAGTTGCCCGCAAAACAGCAGTATACAGTCTTAGATGAGTGTTCTGTGTCTCAATTAAATGCAGCTGGCTGTGGACAAATGTTAAAAATCTTTTTGACATCTGGGACTTTTAGTTTATCAGACACTTACGCTGCTTGTATGTTTTCCTGTTAAACTAGACACAGATGCATGGGAATACTTAAATGGGAGCAAAATAATAAAAACATTGCAATACGGTACTAAGCCCATGATATGCTTTGCGCAAGTAATAGTAGCTGACCTTATCTAATATTCATGAACTCTTTGCTAAAAAGACATGTAATTTGGTTATTTATCTATTCCACATTTCTGACTAAATTCATCACTATTTTTTCATTTAGAATGCAACAGGAGTGCCTTCACAGACCCTAAGAACTGTTTCGCCCATAGAACTATGGCCCTATGGAACTGTTTACGGGAGACCTAACTAACAGCAGATTATAAAAAGGATGCTGGACTTCCATTTTAGTCTCACAACCACTTCCAGTATTTTGTGACTTCTTTTACTCTTTCGTTTGGAAAAAAAACAACAAAAACTGCAGCTTAACATTACCAATACAACTTTTAAACGGGAACTTGGTTTAAACCTTTGTTTGATATTCGATTCTTAATGAAAGTTCTTGAGTAAATTTCTGAATCTAATACTACTTTGTTTTATCTACTTAATCGTTGCAAGAAACTTGTGATAAGCGAGCCTCTCAGCACCTAGTTCATGTGTTCAAATGGTTGTGGACTTAATAGAAGCTTTCGCTTAACAGGCTTCCGTGTCTAGTAGCGGGGGGTCACCAAAACCTCCAGGCAGGAACCTAGGTATATTAACAATAAAAGAGGGATAAGAAATTGGTAAGTCATGGTATGATACTACCCTTGAGAATAGATACACTTGCCTCTTAAAGGACTCCTGGGAAGTCGCTTGGACTAGCTTGGCGGGCAGCGGATCCCAGCATTTGACAACTCTTAAGGAGTAGAAGTTGCGTCTACAGTCCGTTCTGCTATGTTGTGTCGCTGGTTTCTGGGACTAAGCTTAAGTAGGTGTTTTAGGGGATGTCCAGAAGTGTTAAGGTTATTGTAAGCCATTAGGTCACCTCTAAGACGTCTATACTCTAATGAGTAGAGGTTAAGTGATTGGAGGCGCTCTTCATAAGGTGATTTGGTGCATATCTTCGTCATTTTCTTGCGAGACTTACATACTCGGGTCCTCTCATAACTTATTCTAACCACCATGGGTTGTCACGGCAGCCGATGGATGGACACACGTTACACATCCTAACCGTACCTGCGTCTTATCTTATAGCTTCTAATTCAAATGACAAGCAAGCAATGCCCCTACCCGCACTAATGGAACACTAGTAACTAAAATGCACCCCGTATGGTACCTTACACTGGTTTACGCACTCGCTGAGCTCTTTAGTGAGAATATTAATACGGTCCTGCTGAAAATCCCATGAACCCCTTTACCTTCATCAAAACAAATAAGTCTGTATTTGCTGCATATAGCAATTTTATTTTTCAGAAGATATAACAGTTAGAACTGGAGTAAAATGGCAGAATACAGCAGATGCACGTGGTACATGTCTTCATCGACTAACTGAAATAGAGAATACGGATATTAGCTTAAAAGGCTTATTTAGAAAGACTAGTGTCTAATTTGAACTTACTGCGTGAGAAAGTTATACTGGAACTACGAATAATGTAGGAACCTAGTCTCCTAGGGCGTACGAAGCACTCAGACTGTAAGACAGTTGTCCAAAAATAATTCGAATATGAAGGTGAAAATTTGCAGGCACTTTTCATCGTAAGGGTGAACATATTAAGTGCCAGATGACATCATACCGTAAAAAACACAAATTTGCGAGTGGTGAAATATGATCTATAAAAAAGTGAGCTTAATAAACAGTTAATTACCTTTTTACTCCCTGATCATGACCTTTCGGCTTCCTTTTATGGCCAAAACAGCAAACATACACTACACACTGATAGCAGATTTCCGGCTTTTCAATGTTAAGCTTGCTTTAACACACTGCATAATGAGTACAACACCTATATTACTGCTATATGACATATTTTTCATAACAAACCCTCTGCAATAGAATGGTAGCATCTGTGACTCCATCTATAGTTGTCGGAAGTCTGGGTCCTTTCGAAATCAATACCGATACACCCTACTCCTTGGCACTCTGTATTAGTTTGACTCGTTGGTGGGATAGTGTTGTCCATAATACTGAAGAAAATTAAAAAAACGCAGATTGTTTCCTTTCGTTTTGCCGATAACACAAGACTAGCCAGATCGCCTGAAGAAATACATTGACTTGAGTAGAAGCAGCAAAAACCCAGAAAACATCGCTGATTCAAAATAAACTTCACACCAACATATAATACATTACACTAACTGCGGCATTTTAGCACACTGAGACATTAAATTACACAGCTACACAAAAGAAATAGCTGAAAGAAGCACAGAACGAAGAAAGCCGGCCGCCATTGCTTACGAAGATGGCGGATGTAATAATTCCCGCCTCATTCTGATTGGTTGCTAAGCTGAAGGGCACATTTACGAAATTGAGTTGCGTTTAATTGCAGCCTACTAAAAACTATAAATACCTGACAATTTTGTACTATAATTGACACTGTTTGGAATAGTATTCCTTTCATTAGTCTTCTGTGTTCTTACTGCGACTTGGAAGGGTTTTGGCGTTCTAGTGCTCTGTTATACGCGGTATATCAAGAAATCAGCCTTTGAGGTATAACAAACCCCAACCTATCATGGTGAATTATATATTTCATGATACACTCACCAGTCGGTATCACTTTACAAGCCTGCGTTTTAGCGGTATAGAAGGTACCCCAAATACTTTTTAATAATCTCTAAAGTA